CCTTCCTTCCTTCCTTCCTTCCTTCCTTCCTTCCTTCCTTCCTTCCTTCCTTTTCTTCCTTCCCTCCTCCCTTCTTTCCTCCTTCCTTCCTTCCTTCCTTTTCTTCCTTCCTTCCCAGTAGTTAGAATGCAGTATTGCAGGCTAACTCTGCCCACTGCCAGCAGTTTGATCCTGACCGACTGGCTCAAGGTTGAATTCAGCCTTCCGTCCTTCTGAGGTGGGCAAAATGAGGACCCAGATTATTTGGGGGGGAAAAGGCTGACTCTGTAAACCGCTTAGAGAGGGCTGTAAAGTGGTATATAAGTCTAAGGACTGTTGCTAGACTGCCATTAGGGATAAGAAGGAAATAAGGAACCAGAATATCTGGCAGGAGAAATCCTCCAGGCGAACTAGCCTGGTTTAAACTCCCCCGTTCTGACCCGTTCCCCACCCGCTCCATCCCCCAAATCCCTGGACCGACCCGTCCCCCGCCTTCATCTCACCCACAAATCCACCACTGAGGCCGGTTTTTGCGATGGCCGCATAATTGGGGTACCCGCCCAGGTACAGCTCCTCGTTGAGATCCAGGCCTTGAAACCTGCCCTGGAACGACACGGAAGAAGGAAACCTCGGTCGGAAAGAGCCGGAAGACAGGCACCACCACCCCGCCAGTGGAGTTTTCTGGCGGCTTCCCCGCCACTGCCTATCGTTTCCTGACAACCAAAGGCACAAAACTGGGTCCACACGAGCAGCAGCTTAGCTGGCGTGAACAAATCCACCTCCCGCCTGCCTCAGTTTCCCAGAGAGAGAGAGAGAGAGAGAGAGAGAGAGAGGAGACGAAGGTTTCCTGCTCTTCGGCAGAATGGAAGCTCCGCAAGCGCGACGGAGTTTTGCAGCACAAAAGGAGTCTTCCTTCGGGAGCCCCGGCCCCTCGACTGCCCCTTCTCCGTTCCCGGAGAGAGACGCACCCTGCTCTTCCTTTAGCCAGGGCTCACCTGGGAGCTGCCGTTGACGGCGGGGTGGCCGTCCACCACCAGAGACCCCTGAGTCAGGTTGCGGTAGAGGCGGACGGTGTGGAACTCGCCCAGGTTGAGGATCGAAGAGTGCCGGATGGTGGCCATGCCGGAACCGGCATCAAACCTGCCGT